ACAGTACTTAACAATAATAACAATAATAATCAATTGTTTTATAAGCATATGAAACAAAGATATACAACAAATATATCACCAAAAAAAACAACTTATAAAACAAAAAATTGATTACAAAATAAAAAGTATACTAACAACAATGGAAGGCCTAAGAAAGGAAAAAAAAACATTTATGCTAATGTGTAAACATAATTTGTGTAATGATTAAGTAATAAACATTTCCTCAGAGTTGCGTCTATTATTACTGGCATTTCGATAAGGATCAGCACTTATAACTAGTTTATCCCGTCAGACAAACTTTATCGCCACTTATGCTTTACTCTCAGATTTAAGCCTATTCCATACTGCAGTAAAAAAGGACTCACTACAAATAGCCAAAACCCAACCATCCCCAAATTTGTAAAGCACCAATATTTTTTTGATGATATGATATTAAAAGTGTAGATTTACTAAACAAACAAAAAAAAAAAACTAAATAAATCACTTACCATACCACTGAAAAAAAACATGAAAACACAATAAATTAAAATTCTAATAAAAACACAAAAAAACTAATAAACTTATTTTAAGACATAAAACCAAATGGGTACTTTTAGCATAAACCAAGACAATCAGAAAGCAGTATACCTCTTTAAAAAAATTTTAAATCAACAAATCAACAATAGTCTTCAATAAACTCTAATGCTGGCATAGATACCTCATTTGAAATAAGATAACCAATCAAAAGTATAAGAAAATGAGCAACCCGCCCAACCCAAAATCATAACAATAATTAAATAATCTATGGTAGCGAAAAAAAACGTCAAACAAAAACCATTAAAAATGTCACCCGCTTAAATAAAAACATGTAGTGCAAAATTAAAATTTAAAATAATTTTTTTTTTCTAAATAATAATAAAAGATGAAAATTGTGCATGTGAAAATAAAAAAAAGCTGAGTAATAAATGCAAGATAACATAACATAAAAATTCCTTGTTAGCAGTGATAATATGAAAATCAGCAGATAAATAATATATCAATAAATATTGTAATAAGACTAACTAAATACTGTAATAAAACCAGATAAATTTAAGTCAAATGAGTGGTTAAAAATATGTTTGGGATGATATAATAATGATATAAGTTGTGATATAAAAATGATGTAGGAATCTGGAAAAAAAATTGTTAAGAAGTAAAGTTTCTCTATGGTCCGAAATAAAAGTAACTTTGAGACCATAACAAAATAACATACATCAACAAAACATATATATATATGTTTATATATATATATAAACATATATATATATAAACAAAGACTTTATCTATAAAAAAACAAAAGCATGCAAACAATGTAAACAGGCTGTATGTGCATAAGGGTGTATAGGTGTAATGTAAGTCTGTGCTATTTATGTCATTCAGCAGAGTCTTGTGTTGTTAGTAACCAGCGTAAAAGATTCATCTGTGAACTACACCAAGCCAGCCCAGCCATACTCCAGAAAACCATGATAGATTAAACACCTATGCATGGATTTATAACTGACTTATGACTAAAAAGCTAGCCCAGGCATCTTTCAAAAAGCAAATATCTTCTCTCGCGGTGACATTAATTGTGATTTGGATAATAGTCGTGCTCAATGACCGTAACACTAACCCTTATAGGCTAGGCCCAATATTATAGTTAAGTTATAATTAATAATTTATTTATTAATAACGCTGTATTTGTCAAAATGAATTATTGTCAATGCATATATATTGTATATATTGCATATATATTGTAATTGTATATTTTAGTTTGTGCATACATATTTTATATATATTATACAAAATGATATTTATTTTAATACTATTTTATCTGTGTTTTCAATTTTCTTTTCTTTCATTTTCACACTTTCTTTCATTTCAATATTGTTCATTCGTTATAAATACTTTATACTTGTTATTGCTTTTTTTGTTTTGTTTTTTCGTTTGTTACATGTTTTTTTTTGTATCTGATGTTGAGATTTTATAATGGTCATAATATTATTGCTTGGTTTTGATCGTTATTATTATAATTGTTTTTGTTATTTTTATTATTATTAATATTATTTTCTATTATATTACTGTTATTGTTATGTAAACTATATCATTGTTATTGTATATTGTGTTATTACATATTATTATCACATATTATTTTAACTGTATTATTAAGATTATTAGGTGTATTTTATATTTCCATTGTTTTTTTTTTTTTTAAATTATGTTAATTTATGTTTTGTATTATTTAATAATATTGTTGTTGATTTTGTTTTTTGTTTATTTTATTTAGGTGTCACTCCTTTGACTAGTTTTAATATCCTCGGAATTAGGAAAAACGAGGTTGGCAATAATTTGCCGACTTTACAGGGATTCCAAACTCCCAACACATGTTGTGTTCATACTAAAGATAATGTTGAAAAAAAAAATGTTTGAATCAAGTTTTTTTGATTAAAAATAAATAAATGCATACCGAGAAAAACTAATCTTGTTGTTTTAGTCGAAGCTCACCTTCTCCATTTTACTCATAAAATTGGAGTCATTAAAATATGACATAATCTACAGACTTCAGCTATTCCTTTGAAGTGTATTTAATTCATAAAAGTTTTAGTATTTGACATCACAATAAACTTTTGACAAAAAAGTCTATCATTTTTGTTTTACATTAATTACCTGTATAAAATTAGTAACAGCATTTTTATTTGGTTAGACAATATTTCGTCTGAATTTGCTTTGCATGAAGTTCGGGAAGCCAAACGAAAAAAACTTAGTTTAAATAATCATGTCAAAATTGATTTTAATGACTTTACTTACATAAGGTACTTAAGGGTACTTGAGTCTTTTTATAACAAAAGTAGGTAAAAAATAAATAACTAAGTAAAAAGTTCAACATTCAACATCTTTTTTTTTTATATTGCAAGATTAACATAAATATTGAAATATTAAATTGATATACATTTACTTATTATTTAAAAGCATTAAGCAATAAATAAAAAATAAATAAATAAAATAAAATTACTTATTATTTAAGCAATAAATAAAAAAAAATTATGTGATATTGTGTTGTTTTATTCTAAGATCAAAAAATGGCATAGGAACGTATTTGTTCTTATAGTATGAAAAATATATTAGAGAAAAAACAAAGTTTTCTTGTCTGACATACCGAACTACCCGAATTTTGCACGAAAAAGTCTGACATCACATTGTCTATTGTTTAGTAAAATTTTCATCAGGTGTTTTCACATATTCACAGAATTTATATTATTTAGCCATGTGAGAATAAATTTAATAAAATTTATTTTGAAAAACATGTATTTTAAATCTTGTTTAATTTACAAAATTGTAATTATTATAATTAAAAGTTGCAAAATTATAACTCAAGGTTAAATTTTGGTTTAAAAAATTGACAAATACAAGGTTTATTGGAAAACTTGTATTTGTCAATTTTTTTTAGTTTTTTAATTTTCCATGTAAAGAGACAAATACCAAATATGACACATAAATTGGGAAATACCAAATATAATAAGTTTTTGAACGCGCGTTACGACATTTCGATAATTTAAATTACCATCTGTCTTGAATTATTGCCATTAATTAATAATAATTTGTCTGTATTTTTGTTAAATTTTAATTGTATAAAACAAGCACAAATATACATCCATGTTTTCATGGTTATAAAATATTGAATAGTAAACTTATAATCAAAATTTATTACGCCAACTTGTGCTGTTATTGGTTGTACTTGTAATGCAAAACCAGGATCTCACATATCCTTTCACAAATTTCCTTTTTATCAATTGAGCAAACAAAAATTTTAATTAAATCAGCATAATTAAATTTTTTTTATAATAAAAAAACTTAACAGTTCATCAAATAATGAAATAAGCAGCCATGGCGCAGCGGTAGCGCACTTGTCTCAGAAATAAAGGATCGGGGTTCAAGCCCCCCTCTAGGCAAGTTTTGCGACATCAGTTAGGAAGGAAGCATGACCTTACTATTAAATGCTCATCCGCGGTACTCTGTGATAAGACTGTAAGGATTTCTTGGAGCAACAAAATAAAATTAAAAATTTATATATCTCTAAATAATACTGTCAGTTAATGAAATTAATTATTAATTTTTTTTGAGGGGAGAACAAAAAATGTTATAGTGTAAAAATGACCAGAGAAGTTAGAAAATAGCTCCTATTGTTTAAATGAAAATAAGTAAGATTCAGAATATATAATACTGAGCTCTCTTGCACAAAAATGAGAGACCTTATATATAACATTCTATATAATTTAAAATACTCATATGAAAATCATAAGATAGGTAGGTAAAACTTTAATATTTGTTTAATAATTTAATTTTTAATAATTTAAAAACAAAAGAAATATAAGTAAGATATATGAATCTAAAAATTAAGATATCTGTAAAAAATAAGTTGTTCCTATAAAATAAAAATAATTTATTTTTACTTTTTGCAAAATTTTTTTTTGATATATTTGGAAAAATAGTACAAATAAATTTGTTTTGCTGTATGTTAGTTTGAGAGTTAGGGATACTGTTTGTTATGTTGGGAGTTTGGGATCCCCTTAATCTTTTAGAGGTCAGCATCAGGGCAGCAAAAACAATTTGAAATAAAGGTTTTACCATAAACCATAGAAATGAAGTTCTGCAATTTTTGCCAACCTCAAACACTTCTAGTTCGGCAGTTAGGTCGGCATTGCCAAATGCAAGATATATATATATATATATATATATATATATATATATATATATATATATATATATATATATATATATATATATATAAAACAAACTTTATTATAAAATTTAAAAATATTAGACAAAGAAAAACAGATGTACTAGTTAGTCTAAAGTCAGGAAAACTTTTGCTTAATTTTTGACAATAAAAAAAAAAGTTATACAAATAAATAAAGCAAAGAATGCTGATTATTGTTTTTTTTTTTTTTTAATTTAATCCAAAATAAATATGTTAATATATCAATTTGTATAAACAAATTTACCCCCTGAAACAGGTGCATCCACATATGAACAGTTAATACTCATAGCAAATTTTAACATATCTTTAGAAACAGATGGATCAATTGTACTGCTATCAATAAAAATACTACCATTTTGGGCACCACTAAAAATAATTAATACTTGTGTGAATTAATGAGTAATGTAACAACAAATTGTCTTAATGATAAAGTGATCTTTTAATAGAAAGTTGATGAAAACAAAAAGATAAAAATAGAGACATAAAGAAAATGAGAAATAAAATTTCATTACTAGCATAGTAACAAGAAAAAAAAGTTATAACATAAAAAATAAAAATAAATAAACATAAATAAACATATGATATACACTATCGTCCACAATTATTCGATTGCTCATACTTTTAAAAGTTATCAAAGTTTATTGGGAGAGAAACTGAAAACTAAAATTACCAGAAATATATGCTATTTTACTATTTGCTAAGTTTACATATAAAAAATTTTTTACTCTCATCTATGTAACCCCCTTTTGTGAAAATAATGACTTTACATATTCTTGGCATTCTACATAGCAACTTTTCCAATTTTTGAAGTAAATTTTATGCCACTCAATATTAAGTTTTTCACTCAAATATTAAGTTTTTCCCACATCTTTTGCACTGTTAGGCAATAATATTTTTACATTTTTTTCAAAATTCATCCCAGAAAAGTTCGATAAGAAAGAGCTGGTGATTGGGAAGGCCAAATCATTTTTTTTAATATTTGACCATTCTCTAACTCACTTAAACAATTTCTAGAAAGTTTGAATGAAAGAATCCAAAGCAGAATGCTCTGGATTGTTATTTTCTTGATAAATGAATGGGTCCCAAAAAAATCCAACTTCCCAAAGGTATGACAAGACTTTTTTAAATGTCTAAACACACTTCTTTCGTCATTATTTCCTCTATTTTTACAATGTTATCTGTGGTATTACCACCAAAACAGCCCCCAACCATATCACTACCACCACCATGTTTCACAGTAGGTAGTACACACTATTTTTTCATCTATTCACCAACCTTTCTTCTGACTAACAATCTTTTCTTGGAACTAAAGATTTGAAACTTTGACTTGTCGGCCCAAATAACACGTTTCCAGTCATCAATTTTTGAAGTCGAAATTTTGAATTTTTTTGCTATTTGAAACAAAAAATATAGTTCTTGCCACAATGTGAATAAAGCGTGCACAAAAAAAAAATGTGAAAGAGTAAATACACAATTTTATTTTCAGTGGTTGTATTAATATATTTTTCATTGTGTTTTTATTTTGTTGGCAACATGTTACAATTTCAAAAAAAGATTTTAGTTTTCCCATTTATTGGTGGCGGGATAGCTCAGATGGTTAGAGCGTCAAAGGAAAAGTTGAAACCCGGACTGTTGAACGATACAAGTTCAAATCCCGCCACCGCCAACTCAGCACTTGAGTAGTACTTCGATACGCAAAAATGTTGGTCAATAACGGACGCTACTTTGGATTAGTCTTAATGACTATTTGTGGCTGTTCCTATGCTAAGCCAACAATATCTTCAGATATAAGAACATTGTATAGAAAAATATAGCATGAAAACTCAAACAAATAAATAAAAATAAACTTAATTTTAAATAAGTTTTCAAAATGACAAAAGGTGTTAAAAAAAATATTTTGCACAAATTTTATAGAAAATCTGAATTTAGCTACAATTCAGAGGCAAAAAAGTTGCAAACACATTTCTACATCATTAGTCATTTGTTTAACATTTTTCCTAAACAAAATCAATCAAATACAAATCTGGTATGAAAAAAAAATGGAGGAAAGGAGTTTTTTCAAGATATAAAACTGGTTAGAAAACTGGTTCACAGTTTTTTGAATAATCCAAGCCTCTCACTAAGGGAACACACAAAAATATGAGAATTTTCTCATTGCTTTGTTGTAAAAGTTTGATATAAACATGTTTTTCAAGCTTTCAAATCACAAAAAGTGCCTAACTATTCTGAAATTCAAAAAAAAAAAAAGCAAGGACCCACAGAAGAAACTTGTATGACAACTATATTTCTAAAAATTTTTGAATTATTGAAGATGATGAAACTTATATGAAGTATGATCATTAGCAAATTCCTTGTGCTGTCTATTGTAATTCCAAATATAGAGGATCATTAGCAAATTCCTTGATCATTAGCAAATTCCTTGTGCTGTCTATTGTAATTCCAAATATAGAGGAAAAGTAGATAAGAAATTTTAATACACAAAAAATGATATTGAAAAAATGTATGATTTGGCAATCAATTTGTAGGTATTACAAAAAATCAGCACCCTATATTTCTGAGTCCACACTTTTTAGTAAAATATATGTTAAGACGTGTTAACAAAAATGTCTTTTACCTCCTACTAAATCACATGAGTGTTTTCAGGCCTTATCATCAAGTCATTATAACAAACTGGGATCAAAAAAAAGCCTAAAATAGCAAATCATACAAACTGCACAGTATCAAAAATTATTGCAAAGTAATGGGCATTTATTAGACAAAAAATTAAAAAACAAACAAAAAAAATATGCAGAAACATTAAAGATTTTAAAATGTCATTTAAAAAACATCAAATAGTTTTGATTGTTGCGCAAGCATATGTGTACTACCAAAATAAAAGTTCTAAATTTTATTAAACACCCACAGGAATAAATTAATTTCTTTAAAATATTTTATCTTCTTATATTAATGTATTAAAATTAATACTTAGTTCCCAGTAAAAGTCAATGAGTAACTTTTTTTAGTTGTTTTTCTACTTACACACTTATTTTTTGTACACACTTTATTGCAGATTGTTTTTCAATAGACAATTCTGGTTTTCTTGCCATTTACATTTCAAAATGTCAACAAAAAATATTAAATTATTAGCAAGAGACAAACTATTAAAATTTACTTGGATAAAATAATAGTATAACTATATGTTTTGAAATATAATATGCTGGAAAAGTTAAATATTTACGTTGCTTACTTTATATAATCTTCACATAAACATTAAACTTGAAAATTGCATGATTTATGAACAATTAACATAAACAACGGACTTGATAATTGTGTGATTAATGAGCAATTTACAAAACAGTGCACTCATGTAAATAAACACTAAATCCAACTTCAACTAATTTAAACATATGTTTTGATAACTTGATGATTTTTATCAAAGTGTTTCATTTAAAATACATTTATATTGCCTAAACTATCTAATAATGCAAAAATAAATATAAAAAAATTACAAACTAAGGTATTTAGAAATTTTTTTATGTTATTCGATTAATTATGGACCATAGTGTAAATTAATACTCAATATACTTACATATATTTAGTATTTCATGAAATAGACTTAATACCTTAATATTCCACTTTTACCAGCATACACCTCTTTTACATCAGGACTAAAAAATAATAAATAACTATATATAAATATTTTCATCTGTGCCAGGAAATTAGATAAAGAGGAGGTGCATAGATGGTTAACAGAAATTTTCTGCTAACCATTAAATCATTTGCCTAAAAGATTTAGGACAAAAAAGGCTCTACTTGGTCGAGCAGGTTAAAAGTCTTAAGGAATTTGAATTTAAAAAATCAACTTAAATTAACTAAGGTCAGCTTTGTTGGGAAGCGGGTGCCATCACACTCTATATCTGACCACACATATAATATTTAGTTGTGACAACATGGTCACAGCTTTTTAGATGTATGAAGAACATTTCAAAAAGTGCAAAACAAAAACTTTACTTGACGGGAGACAGCTACTAAAAAAACTAACTAAAAAAAAAAGAATTCTTAATGAAGAAAAACTCAATTAAAACAAAATAAATTACGTTTAGAAAAAACTATTTCTAAATTTCTTTCTTTTAAAATTTTTAAAATAAAATTAAGCGACACTTCTATAAAAAGTAACAATTTACTGATCGATTAGAAAAGAAACGTTCTTCAATTTATTAAAGAGTATAATATAATTCTTTTTTTGTTCTATTTGTGTTTTATTTTAATAAATTCTAACAAAACTAACAGTAGTTAAACTATATAATAAACAAAAAAGTAAATACTTTTTTATAACCATTTTATGCTTTGCACAGTTTGCAAAGTTTAAAATATCTAAAAAAAATTCTTCTTAAGTAAGATAAACAAAAAAAATAAATTCTTGAGTTACTATAAAAATATTATAATCTTTTCTTTTAACAGTGTCTTTAAAATGTTTAAAAAATTCTGCATTGCAACAGACCCCTCAAACAGCAGTCTATAATAATTAGTATCCAAACTGCAGACTATGTATACATTTAATAACTTTATATTTTACATAAGTCCATCGGTTTATTATGCTTTATTATATATATATATATATATATATATATATATATATATATATATATATATATATATATATATATATATATATATATATATATATATTAATATATATAAAGTATACTACATTCTAAGTAAATTATGATTTTATTTTGTCTCTTGTAAACTAGAAGAATGTATTATTGCATTAAGTTATTAGAAAACTTTTATGGTTAAACTAAAAAGGTAAAAAATATTTATGAAAAGGAAGAGGAACTGCTTGACAATACTGCTGACAATGTTTAGTGAGTGAGCTTTTTAATATATTTCTGTTTGTATTCTGTATGGACCTCTGGTGCAGTAATGGTTCTTCCATAAACCACCTTTATAAATGTATATTTATGTTAATGTATGTGAATTATCTGGTGCAAGGTTCATTCACTCGTAGTTCACTATGTAAGTATGTATTTCACTATGTATGTCTTTGTAATTCACTATATATGTATTCACTCTGTATATATGTATGTTTAGTTCAGTTGCATGTTTATTTGCTTAATAATTTCAACTGATTATTATTTTTTAAATTTTAACTGATTATTATTACTAAACTGATTATTATTTTTTAAATTTTATGACTAGGATCAGAAACAAGTCTTAATTCAAGTAGAGAAGGTAAATGATTGTCTGGAAAGCGAGTTGAAAAGTTGACTATTTAAGTTAGAGATTGAGAAAGGAAAAGTTGTGGGCCCTAACGCCAGCAGAGTCACTGACACTAGAGCCAAGCCATTCAGTGTGATGAGCATTTTATTTAAAACTGTGTTTTAAACACAGTTTTAAATAAAATATATAACTATTTATATAATATTTAATAAAACTTACAATTTCTTTTTTATAACTGATCAATAAAAGTAAATTGTTGCTTAGTTTAAAAGCATTTTGCTTATATAAAAACATTTGATTACAAAAACATTTTTATGAATTTAATTGTTTTAGGGTGTGAAAACTTTTCGGACATACATGGAAACATACACAACCCTCAGAATTAGGGTTGGCATTTGGCAATGCCAACCTAACTGCTGGGCTCAAAGTGTTTAAGGTCGGCAAATTTTTGCTGACCTCGTTTTTATGTTTTAGGGTAACCTCTTTGTTTAAAATTTGTTTGCTGACCCAATGCTGACCACTAACAGTGTGAGGTTGGCAATAAATTGTCGACCTCATTTTTCCTAATTCTGAGGGTTGCATACATAAATTTGAATGTTCTGCGATCGCACCCGCTTCCTGACCAAGCCTGAAGATTGGCTTCAGCTTTCAGTAGATCTACCAAAAGTTATAAGGATAATCTTCTTGCCAGATTCAGGTTGAACCTAACTTATGTCACTCGCCAGTTTCAGTTACACTTCTCGGTAGTTTCGAGTTAAACTATATGTCAGGTTATCCTGCTTAAAGGCTAGATATTGTGTCTTGATAAAAATACTCATCTTGGGCAGACGTTAAATGCATCCATTTACTGTCTTATAGAAGGACTCCTAGGCAAAGACTTAAGGGGTAAACAGATTCTATCTGTTGACCAGTCTCGCACCCCTTCTTCATCCATTAGGCTGCTTAGATGTATTTATAATACATTGTTTCCAGTTTAGGATGTTAAATGCTGGATCTACTTGACTTAATGGATGAGTTTTGCTAGTGTCTCTGTTTTTATGACTAGGCAACTTATTCTATTATCTCCTAATGAGGGTACAGTTCTAAAACTCAGTTTTATGGAGGCTGCTGGTAGTCAGGTTTCCCGAACCCTGTGTAGCTCTCCGAGAAGCAGATTCCATTAACAGCTGTAAAATATCAGAGTACTAACAGTGCCATGTTGCACATGGATGGTGTCCCTGTTTGTATTTTTGGTGTGCATTGTCGAGGCCACATTTAGAGCTAATTGTTATGGCTTAGGATTTATTATTAGTAATGAGGCAATTGCTTGGGCTAATAAATAGTGTACTGAGTAATATCTGTGCTTTGAATAAAGTTCTTTGACAAATTTAAAATGACTAAAGTACCAAAAACTATAAAACACAAAAAACCATCATCATCACCAAGTTCTCTAAATCTATCATTCACTAAGATTCATGGTCTTTGAAGTGACTTTCTTTTGTTGAGTCTTGTCTTTTGATAAGTTCACCAGACCTACTTGCTCTTTGCGAGACTAACTTGTGTTTGGTTGTCTCATTTTGTGATCTTATTTTGATTTTTCTTTAATTCGTTAGATTAGGACTTCAATAGTCACTTGGCCTGGGCATTTACATTTGTAAGAATTCCACGTTTGTCAGGAAAGGAGGTTTGAATCCACAGACTGTTCTTCAAAGTGCTTTCTTTTAGCACCACTTCATTCTATTGCCTTTCTCTTTGTTCTATATCGCTCTCCTTTATCTCAAGACTGCACACTTTTTAATGTTATTTTTGATTAATTTGACCAAACCCTCTCTCTTTATCCTTCAGCCAACATTGTGGTGACTTCAATGCTCATCACACTGAATGGCTTGGCTCTAGTGTCAGTGACTCTGCTGGCGTAAGGGCCCACAACTTTTCCTTTCTCAATCTCTAACTTAAATAGTCAACTTTTCAACTCGCTTTCCAGACAATCATTTACCTTCTCTACTTGAATTAAGACTTGTTTCTGATCCTAGTCAGTGCTCAGATTCTCCACATTCACCCTTCGGTGCTTCTGATCATGGTTTGATCTCTTATCTCATTGTTCATCAAAATCAAAATTCCCTTATCATTGTAGTTGTAACAAAACTACCCTAAAGCTGACTGGGAGTCTTTCTGTAACTTTTTTCGTGATAGCCCTTGGATAGAGCCCTTTCTTCCTCCTGCTGACATATGTGCTTCTCACATAAGTTCTTGGATTCAGGCTAACAGGGAATCTTTTATTCCCTCTCGACAATTCCAAATTAAGCCTCACTCTTCTCCATGGTTTTCCTCGCAGTAAGCTGCTGCAATTTCCAATCAAGACCATTACTTCCATATCTATCAACAAAACAATTCTGCAGAAAACATCTGTTTACTATTGCTAGAAACCATTGTAAAAAGGTTTTGTTTAACAGCAAAGCCCGCTATTCTCAGATCATGAAATTTCGAATTTTATCTCAAAAATTAGGCTCTCGTGACTTTTGGAGAATCTTTAACAGTATCTATAATAATAGCAAATCTGTTGTTTCACCTCTTTTGTTTGGTTCAGATTTTGTCATCTCACCTAAAGACAAAGCTGAATTGTTTGCTAAGAACTTTTCTCCAATATCATCTCTTAATTTCACTAGTTGTGTTCTACCTAATATAGCCAACAAACTGTTAGATCCATTGCTTGACATTTGTATCACTCTAGCTTCTGTATCTAAAGTGATTTCCTGCTTAGACTCTTCTACAGCTTGTGGTCTGGACAACATACCTGTTATAGTCTTGCAGAAGTGTTCTCCAGAGCTGTCATCTATACTTTCGTAACTATTTAACATATGCCGATCAGTGTTTTGTTTTCCAGCCTGCTGGGAAGCGGCATCTGTTATCCCTATTTTCAAAAACTTTAGAGAGCGATCTGACTTATCTAACTACTGTCCCATCAGTCTTCTTATCGTAAGCAAAGTTTTTGAGTCTTTAATTAACAAACACTTTTAGATGTTTGTTAATTAAAGACTCAAAAACTTTGAGAGACTTAAAAACTCAAAAGAAAGACTCAAAAACTTAGAGAGGTTAAAACCTCTTATCTTGAATCTAATAACTTACTGATCAGCAATATGGATTTCGATCTTCTCATTCTACAGCTGATTTGCTAACAGTAATAACCGATAGGTTTTATTGTTCATTAGATAGATTTGGAGAGGTTAAGGCTATTGCTCTTGACATTTCTAAAGCTTTTGATAAAGTTTGGCTTGCTGGTCTTCTCCATAAGCTTTCTTATCTTTCATTATCGTTGTAATGTTACTTCCCTTTCTCTTTTCTATAAATACTTTAATGGGCACTGCTCTAAAGAGCTAGCATCTGTTGTCCTATCTACTAAAATTTATTCTTCTGCTACTCGTCATTTTAAAAGTCTCATCCTTTTACTGTGACTGTTTGTAAGTGCTCTAAAAATTCTTATTTATCTAGTTTTTTTTCGTAGAACATAAGTTCTTTAGAATTTGCTTCCTTCATCTTGTTTTCCTGATTCCTATAACTTGCAATATTTTAAGTTCTGTCAATCATTATCTTGCTCTCTAAACTTCATCTTTTCTCTTCCAGTAACTTCCAACTCTAATAGCGCTTACAGCCTTGTTGGAGAAGAATGAAAAAAAAAAAAAAAAAGCTTGACCTCATAGTTTTTTCTTTCTTGTACAACTGCTATTACAAGAACTTTTCTAATCATTATTATTTTTTTTACCTTTTACAAGAACAACTCTATGAAAAATAAATGTCTTTTTATAATTGCATTTATAATTGTATCTCAGACTATAAAATCTCAAATTTTATCTCATAAGTTTGGTTTTATCTCATAAATTTTATCTCATAAGTTAGGTTCTAAAGACTTTTTTAAAATCTTTAACAATTATCAACAAAGGCAAATCTAATATTTCATTTCTTATACATGAATACATTAAAAATTAATTCTTTAAATTTTGTGACAACAAAAATAGTTTAATATGCAATTTACTCCAGAGGCCTTTATTTGCATAGAACTCTATCTTCAATTCTTTGAATCTCCAATTCTTGAACCTAATTATAATTCTTAAAGATACTATTTCTGGCATCCCGAATCTATTGATCATTCTGATGACACACTTCCTATAATTCCAAAAAAACAGCTAATGTTAGCCATTAAAATAATTCCTGTTACCATTGCTTAAGCTATTTATCACTTATATTGCTCTACAGCTTGTAAACAAGACAACATTCTGGTCTTACTAAAGTGATCTTAAGAATTCTTTTCATTAATTTCTGAACTATTTAATATGAACTGAATTTTGTTTTTCTGATTGATGGAAATTGGCACCTGTAATTTCAAACTTAAAAACTCTGGAAACCACTCTATATTTAAAAATGAATTTTTTTTCAAACAAAAGTATTCTTAATAATTCAAACCTTGAAGGTAACATGGTGATTATTTTTTTTGTTTTTTGTGCAACATCATAAGGTGATGTTGCAACTAAAGCTCCATGTGCTTTCAAACTTTCCATTGACTCTGGATAGACATCAAAAACAACAAGGTTATAGCCTTTTTTCAGCAAGTTCATACTCATTTGACTTCCCATATTCCCAAGTCCAATGAATCCAATTGTCTCCTACAAAATTAAATATTTATAATTAAAGTTTATATTTCAACCAAATATTATAAAACCAAAAATGAACTTATAGCTAGATGTTTTAAAAAGTATGAAGGTTGGCGTTTGACAGTAACAGTACACAGTCATTTTTCTTCATATCATCACTTTTTGCTGAAAAAAAACAAAAAATATCACCTTAGTCAATTTGGGGTTTAATTATTTAAAAAGTGCCTAATGTGGTTGTCATGGTGAAAACTTCAAAGATAACTCTTATACCTCAATTAAAGAGAAAGCGCTCAAATTTAAATTTTCTCAAAAAAAAAAAAAAAAAAAATCTTTTAGCATTATTTGTATAAGAGCTTGTTAGACTTATGAGCCAAACTTTGTTAAAAGTCATTATATATCAGAAGCATTAAACATTTGATCTATAAATCTGTAATTATTATCCATACATCTGCAATCAACACTATGACAAAAGATTTTGTTTCAGCCAAAAAATCTTATTCTCGAAAATAAGGTCCTTTGCAGCAGCAATTTTTGTTTGGTTACTTAAGAATTTTTGGATTTTTATCTGACCCTCATAAATATTACACCTAAAATAATAGTTGCATAGATATAGTTTTGTTAATTTAGAAGATGGTTATTTCAAGTGTTGTCCCAAAAATTAATATACATTCATGACCTACTAAATATATCAATAATTAAAATTCAAAAATCAGAAATTATGAACAAATTATTTAGCTATTATCTTATATTATATAATCTAGACTAATGACTTATTATTTTAGTAAAGCCAGCTACTTTCTGTCTATTATTTGTCTGCTTTCTGTCTAATGTCGATTAGTTAAGTTAAAGTTTAGCACATGAAAAATTTAACTTAGAACCTTGAGGTAAAAACAAGTTTTCTTTCCTATTTTTTGCCTAAACAATCCTCTCATTTGATAATGAATTTTTTTTTTGCTGCAAAACAAATTTTTACCTTTGCATCTTGAGGAACCTTAATGTCATCTTGTAATCCTAAAAAATCAAAGATAAGTAAGAATTCTACATCTTCACACATCAACTACAATGTCAACATGTTATGTTTCTTTGCACCTTCGTGCTACATATCAAAACTTTTAAAGGCCAGAAAACAGGTTTAATAACAAAAGCAGTCACAAAAACAAAACTCACACTTACAACTTTATATTAAAAAAATTAGTTTAAGTATCTTTAACACTCTCTATAATATGCTGTTTACTTAGGATTAAATTAAAATAATTAAAACCAATAAAAAACTTTTTCAAATGTAAAATTTTTAAGAATCCAGAACCTTATTAAAATTTACTTTTTTTCACCATTATAATCTACTTATTATTCATAAATATATTCATGAGATTCATTTTAATCAATATTTGATGCTAATTTCAATTAATTTGTGTTATCTACCAAATATTTTATCCAGTATATGATGCTAATTATGAAGTTATGTATGTTATCTGCACAATATTGGATGTTTATTACTATAATATTTTTATAAAAAATCGAAATTCAATTATTTTATTTCTGCATTTTAAAATTAAAAATTTATAGTGTACAAAATACAGATAAAATTCCAAACAAAACTAAGTTACTGGTTGTACCACACTTAACTTGCTTCTCTGAAAAGTGGTTTAAAAATGTGTAACTTTCTTAACATTAATGCTAACTTAGAATGATTAGACTTTCATGTTTTACATTTAAAAAAGAACAAAAAAAAAAAAAAAAAAAAAGAGAAAGTAACTTTAAATAACGAATATTAGCCATAAAATATTAAAATTATATAGAAACAAAAGATGACCCATAATAGAAAAGTTTTGAAAAAGCATAATTCTAATCTAATGATCTAATGGCATAGTTATTCCACTATCACGACATCTACTTGTTCTAGTTTTATCTATCCATGTTCTATTTTTATCTAACATTTTCCAAATAAACAACACTGCTGCCCTAAAAAAAATTTAAAAATTACAAATATCTAGTAGAAAACCTAAATTAAACTTTTAAAAAAATAGCTCAAACCTTGGCTACTACTAAAACAACGAAAAACATTTGGACAACTTTGTGTTGTTATTCGAGTAGACTTGCAAAAACTGACTATGCGATAAGTTCGTAATAAAGACATTGTTTTCTAAAAAAAAAAAACGCTTTACAGTTTATAGTTAAAGTTTTGCTTTTACAACTGTTGCAAAAGTTGAAGTAAAACACTTCAAATGTTCACTTCAGGTATTTTTTTGATTTAACAACCGACATTAAAGCGGTTTATCGGCGCTACCGAGTTTTTTTTTAAATAGGCTGCGTGTAAACTTTTCGCGAGCACGTACATGTACTTGTGTTTATTTAAAAAAAAAAAAAGAAAACGAGGCGGATTTAAACCCCGGCAAGTCCTACAAGTGACGGGGTCAAAAATTAAATATAAATTTTGGTATCACTTGACGCCTACCACCTACCCAATATTAGACTGCCGATCTTTATATTTTGTAAAGTTGTTTTTATGAAATTTACAGTGAAAACTATGCTTTGCCGAGGCTGCAAAGTTTATTACATAAAGCTTGCTAATGTAATTTATAATTGCTGTTAAAAGTAGCAATTTGATTCGTTTAAAAATAGATTCTGCAGCTATAATTTATACTTTGGACAGTATACTTATACTTTATACAGCTATACTAATATTGATATTTCTATCTATAAAAATGGGTGAAAGAAGTTCAAAATTTTTTGACAATTGTTGACAGGAGAAAAGGGGAAATTCAAGAAAAGTTGACGCCAGCAATGTTACTTTGTAAAATAAATTTTGACTAACTGTTGACAAGGGGGAGGGGGTAAAAATTGCCAAAAAGTTATTGAGATAATTAATGGACAGCCACAAGGAAGATTTTGAAGATTCAGTTTTGTTAACATGTATTAGGTATTTTCGATCTTGTTGTATTGTTGTTCATATTACTATGTTGTTCATATGCTCTAACACTTTGTTGTTCATATGCTCCAACACCGTTCAATACTGCTAGTTAAAGTTTATCGCTTCCATCAACAAGACTTAAATTATCATTTAGTAGCCAATCTTTAATCCATAATTAAAAGCAAAATAAATTTTGATTTTAAATACAGGTTCGGTTTTAGACAAAAGCTGGGTGTGGCATGGTACAGGGGTCCCATCAAAATTAGGGGTCCCAAAAACTAAAGATAAAAAAATTAACTTGTGTTTTATGATGCACCTGGGCACAGCAATAACATAAAATTTGCTTCAATTTACACTATGAATAACTTGGCATGCCAACTGAATTAGCTGTCATGCACAACATTTGAACGAGACCTAGGCGTTGTTATGACTAATAATCTGAAGGTTAAAAAATTAGTCTTTGCGCCTGCATCAGCTGGCATCTGAATGCTTGGCAAGCTCAAGAGAAGCTTTACAAGGTCGAATTCCAGCTGCAGCTGCATGCTAAGCTTGTATCTTGATTTTAAGTATATTGGATATCCTTAAATCATAATTTTGTGTTTTAGTTTCGGGTTGTTAGCGATGACCATTTTGTGATTCCATTGTATATAAATTATGTGGTTTATTTGTTTTTTTTTGACCACGTGCATAAATTTGTATGATCTTTTATGCAAAAACTGTTTTTTAATTTATCGGTTGTAAATATAAATTTAATTATTACATTTTTACAATACTTTTTAATAATTTTATCAACTTTAGTTTTAGTGAAATTTGAGTAAAATCCAATAAATGGAAGCTTAAAATATCTTATATTAGTATTATCAACAGTATTTATAACAGGTGGATTAATTTTCTTCTCAACATATAATTTAATTTCAGTGTCGATAACTTTTTGCGAAAATTGATTATTTTTTAAAACTAAAGAAAGATTTTTTATATCCTTATCAAATCCAAACCACGTGTTGTTAATTTTATATGTTCGATCAATCAAGCAACGTATAAGACCAGTTTTGTAACATGAAGGGACAAAACTAAAGAAATTTTGTAAAAGATCCGTGTATGTTTTTTTGTGATAAACTAATGTAGAGAGTGAATTAGACTTATTAATAAGAACATCCAAAAATGGAATTTGGTTGTCTTTTTCTTTTTCCATAGTAAATCTTAAGTTTTTGTGTTGTTTATTGAGATGTTTAAAGAATTCTTGCGCTTCAAACTCTGAATTAAAAATTGCTATTATGTCATCCACATAACGTTTATAAAAAATCGGTATGGAGGATGAGCAATTATTAACCCACGTTTGTTCATGAAAACCGATAAACATATTAGCTAAAATTGGCGTTAAAGGAGAACCCATTGCAACGCCATCTAATTGATCATAGAATTTTCCGTTAAATAAGAAATGAGAACCTGACGTTGATATTTGAAGTAATTTTTTGAAATGAGTTTTAGAAAAATTTTTTGAGCGAGTTTCATCTTTAAAAAACAATTAGGTTGCTATATTTATAGTTTCATTAAGTGGAATGTTAGTAAATAAGCTTTTAACATACATCTTTCAACATCTAAGATACCCTTGTAAAGATACTTCTCTTTTATAGTTGGATCATCTTTTAATTCTTTAAATTTAGTTTTATCACTTATAATATTATTAATAGAATTTATATAGTCAACTTTATTTAGAACAATTATACCATTCCCTTTGTCTGGTCTTGTTTTTACGATGTTTTTATTCTTCCTGAGTCTTTTTATTATTTTGTGTTTTCTCAGACAACTTTTAGACGGCGTGTATTTGTAAACATAATTATTTGCTAAATGTGAAAGTTCACTTTTAACTTGAGGTTCCGAATCCTTGTTTCTAAGTTGGGTGTTGAGAAATTGTGCAACGCAATCAAATTGAGCAAAAACGTCCGTCTTTTTTATAAACGGTAGTGGTAAAGCAAAGTTAAGACCATTATTCAATAAATCCAGTTCATGGTGTTGTAAAGTTTATGAAGACATAAATTATACGAAGTTTTTATTTTTATAAGGAATGCTAGTAAATTTAGTGAGTGAACATAATTTTTTCTCGTGGGTTTTTATAATTGATTGTTCTTTTTTCTTTACATTGTTTTTAATAAACTACATTAAAAAATACCATTCTAAGGTTGAACAATTATTTCTTACTTGGCACTTTATTTCATCTAATTCTTTTTGCAATAATTTTTGTTCGTTTGATCTTTTATGTAACGCACTTTTGAGTAACCTTCTTTTTATCGACATTATATCATTGTGGTTTGCATGAGGTATGTTAAATCCTAAAAACTTTGGGTAAACTTTAAATAGCTTGCAGTTTTTAAGAAAGTTTATGTCCAAACGGGCTTTGTTACTTTTGATAAAAAGCTTTTCCATATTTCGTAAATTCTGCACAGTTAAAATTCCTTGAGAAGCGTTTGCTAAATCGTGAAATATATTTTTCGAACATCGCATTAGCAATAAATTTGTAAAAATTTTAATAAAAATCACAATATTTTTTATTCTTGACATGTTTCGTAGTCTTACTACATTTTCAAAAGATTTAATTTACAATTAAAACTCTGGTAAATAAATTTAAAAACTGAAGACAATACAGAGAAAAAACTAACGGACAAATAAACTTGTTACAAACCAATTAAAAATTATATTACAAATTTGTAATATAATTTTTAATTGGTTTGTAATTACAAATTTGTATTATAATTTTTAATTTGTAATATAATTTTTAATTGGTTTGTAATTACAAATTTGTATTATAATTTTTAATTTGTAATATAATTTTTAATTGGTTTGTAATTACAAATTTGTAATATAATTTTTAATTGGTTTGTAACAAGTTTATTTGTCCGTTAATTTTTTCTCTGTATTGTCTTCAGTTTTAAATTTATTTACCAGAGTTTTATTTGTAAATTAAATCTTTTGAAAATGTAGTAAGACTACAAAACATGTCAAGAATAAAAAATATTGTGATTTTTATTAAAATTTATATATATATATATATATATATATATATATATATATATATATATATATATATAATATATATATATATGTATATATATATATATACATATATATACATATATAAATATATATATATATATATATATATATATATATATGTATATATATATATATATATATATATATATATATATATATATATATATATATATATATATGTACATGGCCGTAGACAAGTAGGAGCTTTGGCCCCCCCTCCTCCCTTTAAGTTTTCGATTTGTTGCGCCTCTGATAATGTTTTTGAAAACATTTATAAAACCTTTGTTTTTTTTAATTCTAGAACTAATTTTCTAATTGCGAAACAACTATATAAAAATATTTCGAAATTAAATTTGTAATACGTAAACTTTAAAAGAATAAAACAAATGAACTCGTTGTATAGAACTTGTTAAAACGTTGTATTGAAATTTTGTTACAACTAATAAAAAGTTGTTTTGTTCACGTAAGGCGATTATTTTTAAATAAATTTGCATTTTCCCTTTTTTTATTTAGATTCCTAAGTTTTATGAATTTAATAATTAAACTTAAATATTTTTAGATAAAATTTATTATTTAATAATAACAGTTTGCGAACTAGATTTAAATAAGTTTGTATTTATTATAGTAACATTACGTTACAATCTATTATATGATTTACTTCAATGATAAGTCTTTAAAAAGAAAATTGTCTGGTCCGGAAGGGAAGCGTCGTAAACGACTGAAGGAAATTTTGGAAGGGGTAGGTACCAACAGCACTATTTTTTCTTTCTATGCAAGAACTGTCATCTCATCAATTTATCCAAGCTCTATCTCTACCTCTAGCCCTGCAACTACCACTACTACTGCATTTTTTTTAGATAATACTACGTGGTTGCATTACAACGAATGTAACGATACAGTTTTATGCTACTATTGTATGTTAATGGAAATGCATTATTTATCATCTTCAAAATGCGAGGATGTTTTCACAAAAATTGGATTTTCTAATTGGAAAAAAGGTTTACAAAAGATTCAGAAACACTAAAATACTCTTTCTCATCGAGGAGCCATTAAGAAGATAAAAACTGTTCCTTCAACAACTAAAGATATTGATGAACTTCTCAGCAAAACTCATGCAGAGGAAAAAATGGAAAGTAGAGCAATGTTATTAATAATTATTACGAATATTCAATTTCTCGCCAGACAAGGTATTGCTCTGCGTGGTGATTACAATACAGACAAAGGATATAAAGAATTTAATTCGAACTTTTCTCAGTTACTTAATCTCAGAAGCAAAGATAATCTCGCTTTAACTAAATGGATGAGAAAGTCGCAAGATAAAT